ACGACCGAATGTGATCAGCGTTCAGGCGTTTCATAGAGGCACGATCGATGTTGACGGGTGTTCACTAATGCCTATCAGACAGCCTTGTTCAGTGTCAGAAAGTCCCCTTTAAATAGCATGGGACCGTTGTAACTTTTGCTCTCGTGCTCGCTTGTTCGTAATATAGCTGTTGTATTCCCTTCTGTGAGTCTTTTTTCAGGCACTGGGCATTGGAGCGGGTCAGCAGCAGATACCACAGACTGGCGAGTCAGCAGCTATAACAATTTCATAAATCAAAAAAGGCAGTGGGTCAATTGGCTTTTGCAGGTGAGGGTCGTGACAAAATGGAAGTTGGGACGAAAGTCTCATATCGAAGAAGTGGACTGTTGCAAGTGTCCTCTCTATCCAAAAGTATTGATTTGTATCATGTGTGTGACGTACGTGCTTCTTTTAAACATGAGATCCAGTCTCCTTCATAATCAATGTACTCACGGAAGCTCGGATAATGCCTACAGAACCCACCAAGATTATGTGTGTTCAGGTCGCACAACACCGCATAGCTGAGTTAAACGAACCTGAATGCTTGAAGAGGACCCTAAGCAGTCTTGGTGCGTAATTCGTTTGCAAATTTGGAACGGAATCATTAAAATCAGTGCCACCTTGCTGATGGTTTACATATTAGCAAAATGAGCAATGAAGTTTCTTGTTTCCGGGACAGAACTGGCAACTTCTTTCTTCATCTTGGTTTTTGGTTGATCTGGATAAGACGGGGTTTATCCATCGCTTCGAAGAAAGATTGTTTCATTCACACGATATCTATCAAAACGAAATTTGAGACTGATGGTTAGACGTTTGCCATGGGAGGGCAAATCTGGATACGAGGAACGAACGAGGCTGGTGGGAGCAGCCGCGTCTCCTTAACGGAAAGAATTTTCGAACTGGCAGAAAAGGTAATCAGAGTGACCAGATCGAATGAGGTATCACTGGCAGAAATGCATGCAGTCATCAAGAGTGGCTATAAATTTAGTAGAAACCGAACAATTAAAGGGCTTTTGATCAAAGATAGTGGGTTTATTGGGTTTAAATATACGTGAAAATAATGAGTCGTAAAGTGATTACGAATATCGTGCCAACTGAATCGTGAGGCGGCCTGTGTGCAACACATTCAGTTGCAGAATATCACAAACGAAAGATTCAGTTGAGTCTCTCGTGGAAAATCAAATTGATTTGCAAATGAGTATATTTCTCGAAAACAGTCCAATTTGAGTTCAATTAGATCATAAGGTTGACGGAAACTTGGGGACTGCGCCTACCTGATGAGCCCTAAGAAGGGCGAAACTGGTCGTGGGCTGTCGAAGAGTTTTCAGCAACCTTGTGAGTAGTTTCCTTTATGATTATGAACCTTTGTTTGTAGAGAGGGCATGCAAAATATACTGCAGATGAATTACGGTTCGGGTGCCTTCAGTTTTATACTCTCTTACCAATGCACTGATAAGAGACTTGATAGATTAGGTTTAATTATTTTTACATCTCATGTTATAATCGCGATTGCAGGACAGTATTTATGTGGACCACTTCCACATTTTTCTTGAGTGGGCCGTCACTGACAGTAGTTCAGATCAAACATTCCGACTCACTCCTAAGACATGATTTGAGAATAGTGGCCACTATTTCTTAGGAAAAGTTTTTTGGGTTACCAGAGGAACGGTAAACGATAGAACTTAACACAAACGGGACGAAAACCAACCTTCATTGACTTCCCCATCAGCAGCTGTCATGATCTACGCACATACTGTAACGATAGTTGCCAACTTTTCTAAGCGTTGAGGCCTCATTTGTGCAATGATACTGCAGGCCGTATGGACGTCCGTTCCTCGAGTTTTACCCAGTTTTCAGCACCTTGTGAGTAGTTTCCTTTATGATTATGAACCTTTGTTTGTAGAGAGGGCATGCAAAATATACTGCAGATGAATTACGGTTCGGGTGCCTTCAGTTTTATACTCTCTTACCAATGCACTGATAAGAGACTTGATAGATTAGGTTTAATTATTTTTACATCTCATGTTATAATCGCGATTGCAGGACAGTATTTATGTGGACCACTTCCACATTTTTCTTGAGTGGGCCGTCACTGACAGTAGTTCAGATCAAACATTCCGACTCACTCCTAAGACATGATTTGAGAATAGTGGCCACTATTTCTTAGGAAAAGTTTTTTGGGTTACCAGAGGAACGGTAAACGATAGAACTTAACACAAACGGGACGAAAACCAACCTTCATTGACTTCCCCATCAGCAGCTGTCATGATCTACGCACATACTGTAACGATAGTTGCCAACTTTTCTAAGCGTTGAGGCCTCATTTGTGCAATGATACTGCAGGCCGTATGGACGTCCGTTCCTCGAGTTTTACCCAGACAAAAGTTAGCAAGTTTTCTTGGAACAAGCAGTTATCGTGCGAAGGGGGATCTAAGGATAAAGTACTACTTGCTGCCATCAGGCGATCGGTATCTCCATGAAGATCAAACTTTACAACCCACCTACGAAATTGAGCTTCAAAATTCAATAACTGAACAACAAAACGGAAAGCCTTCCAGTTAATACGGAACACCTGTCAAAGGGTTGTATTCGGACGGAATAATATCAGAAGACGAAGTTTTTCTCTTGACCTCTAACAAATCTGGGACAATCATCCAGAGTCACGCACGTTCCAGGAGAAAAGAAAGCTGAAAGAAGATTGATCACCACCGGGGAATCACTATTCTGTGTTAAATGAAACAAATCCAACTGAATTTCACGAACTTTGATGTTTTGGAAGAAAATGTTCCTGAACGTGAAAAAAATCAATAAACTTTTTTCATCATATCGCATGCTTGCTTGGCCACGAGTGGTCGAACGGTTGAGTGTTCAAACTACTAGCCAGGAGGTCGCGGGTTCGAGACTCTTCGGAGTTTCGTGAGATGCGCACTGCTACTGATTCCCAGTAAGGATGAAAAAGCTGTACAGTGCTTCTCGGCTTTTCAGCATAGATTGGCTTCACTTACAGGACGAAATCCCACAAAAATCCCAAATCTCCTCACACTACCAACAGAGAGAGTAGTCTTCATTCATGGGGCACTAACATATCCACTACATTGGGTACACATCAAGAATGTTACGACGTAGCGGTGGATTAGTTTTCTTAAATATCTTCTTCCAAGATCAATCGGAACAGTTTTGGGCGAGATTCTACGCTCGCTAGTAGCTTATTTGAATTCTTCGATCGACAGTTGCACACTACACTGGATACCGTCTATTGCGTTTTGCACTTAACCGTAATGACAAGACCATATGAGCGTTATGTTGGGGTGATTTTGGCAGTTTTCTCTAAAGTGTACAGCTGCAGTTGTTTGCAGTAGTAGAAGTCAACAAGTTATGCATAGATTGCTCAACCGAACGCGAATCACCAACCCAACTTACTGAACTTCCGCTCCCATCTCCGAAGACATTGGTGTGTTTTAAGAACCTACGTTTTCTCCCATCTTTATTTCCCTTTATGTCGGCTACATACCTACGATTTACAGTGCAGAGGAGAAAAAACTGTTCCAGGGCAAAGTGATGAAGTGATCCCCGTAGCGTCTTCTGTCATATAATGTCACTAAGTGCACTGAAGTTTACTTCTTCGTGACTTCACAAAACTTTTATCACAAAACATTCGCAGTCTTTCATTGTTCACTGTCAGCGAAACTTCCCTCCAAAACTCACATTCACGAAATGCTTTGGAGTATCTCTCTCAAGAAATCCCAGGTTCCCTTTCCATATCGAAGCAGTCAGATGGTTTTTCTATTACACACTGGCACTGAGATTGTTCCATATACGACAAGACTGTACAATAATGTCTGTTGCATGCATACTTCTGCAACAATAGTATTTTCCTCGTTGTATTTCCGAGCCCACTGGGGGTAACTTTTGACATCTTGCAAGTATGCCAGAACAGGTCACGAGATGCCATGAATTCTAAAAGACTGATTTATTGACGCTTGTGCAGATGATTTCCACAGTTCATCCCGGATCTCCTCAAGCTCTCAAAATGCGATTCAATTTTCGATTATTGTTTTCTGAATTGAAGTATACAATGATCAAGTGTAACCATATGTTGCTTGATATTCTGTTCGTAACGCTTCGGTAATGAGTCCTCAACAACAGAGGATCTCCACCCGATTGAACGTTTGATTCTAACTATTGTGTTCGTAAAATTCTTAGAGACTTTGGCTAAGTTTATTTAACATCTCTGTGATTTTGTTTCCAGAAACTTCACTTCCGAATGCCCAGGGCACTTGCTTTCTCAAGTCAGCCTGACTTAATTATCGACTTCAGGCAATCCGTACCCCATCGTTCCCCAGAGGAAATGTCTGGAGTGGGTGTTTCGTTAAAACTTAGTTATTGATCGTATGTCTAGGTTCTTGTAGCGAGGTAATTTTTACACAAGCAATTACCCTATCCTTAACCCAAAGTTGATATCCAGTCTAAAACATGTAGAGAATTTATCGATCCGACTCGAACGGTTGCTACTCATACAAAGCTTTCTATCCTCATCCCAGTGTTAAGTAAGATTTGTTTGGCATGACTAGCCAAGGACTCGAATTCTGTGGCTTTTGCTAAAGAATCTATCTAGCCATCATGGGCTAACCTTAAGTTTCGACGGTGTATTCACTGAACAATAGGAAAATGGCGGAAGATAACTGGATAGACTGGCAGTGAAAGCGAGGATGATCTGGTTTGAAGGTCCACAAATTATCTATACGCCTAAACTATCAGAGGCTTATGTTAAGGTTCACTTTTGTCCGACCAAGAAGTTACATAATCGGTGATAATTACCACCGTGTTCTAGGCTGTGCAATCTTTGGAGGTCGCTATAAACTTGTTACACCGAAATTTCATTACCCAAGTCATTACTCATAGAAAAAAGATGGCTGGAAATAATTAAAAATACCTCAACGCTTGGCTGGGTTGGAATCAGGAAAATGAAGTAGTTTTTCGTCCTAGCTTGGATCTCTCGATCTGTTCTGTTGCGATCTTGCCTGTAACATCATGTCTGGACGTGGTATGGATGGTAAAGGACTCGGAAAAGAGGAGCTAAACGTCATCGCAAGGTTCTCCGCGATAACATCTAGGAGATCACCAAGCCGGCCATCCGCCGTCTCGCTCGCCGAGGTGGTGTGAAGCGCACCACTGGTCCGATCTACGAGGAGACCCGCGGTGTCCTCAAGGTGTTCCTTGAGGACGTTATCCGTGACGTCGTCACCTACACCGAGCACGCCAAGCGAAAGACCGTCAATGCCATGGACATTGCAAACGCATTGAAATGCCAAGGTCGCACTCTCTACGGCTTTGGTGGTTAATTCCACTCCGGTCGTTTCTTCAAACATCAGTACAAAACACCTATTTGATATGCGACATGAGTTCTCTAGCGACTTCTACAAATGGCCATCAAATAACTCCAGTTGACTCAATCGTCTGAACCGAGTGGTTAACAACGATATCACATAAAGCCACACGGAGCGTAACATGAACCGATTACTTGAGGAACCTCAGTGGCGTCAAGGAGAGCGGCACACTGTAAGTGCATGTATTTCTCGACGGATTCGGACATGCAAACATGTCATGTGAAACTACGTTTTCGATTATTTGACGTATGGACACCAAGCACCACCCCAACTACTTCTGTCGTCTTATCACGAAAGCAAATCCTTGCGTTTTTAGTGATTGCTGATTAGAACCTGTCAATCTGTAAGTGCACAAAAGATTTTGATTCCTATTTTGTGCTTACCATGGGATTGGGTTTGAAAAATCAGTCATTTACCACGTACGTCTTTAGATTATTTTACGTTCTCCAGGCATTACTTGTGTGAATGAACAGCAAATGCTAAGAAACTGCGACAAAATACGGCCTCTACCTTAACAAGTACATCTTAACGGTTAATTTGAATTCACAACTAATATCAAATTACGAAACGCCACAAAATATATCCTGTATAAACCCGTCCGATTGGACTAAACCAAAAGCTCGCATAAAATTGTATAGTTTTGATACGATTTTCCGTGTTAAAAATAAGTACATCTCCACTCACTACGAAAAATTATAATGGTTTACTGCTCAGGCCGCTTGGCTGTTTTTCAGTTCCTTGTTCCTGTTTGAGATTGCGTGATGTCTTAAAACGATTTCAGTCACAGGTGTGACCGTGTAATCCGAGGAACACGTTCACTTATATTTACTTGCAGATAAATGCTGTGGAATCAGGAAAAAAACCATATAAAACCGTCTCTCAAATCACTGTTTGTTTCACGCCGTTTTGGTGAAACCTGTTATGATACATACTCTTGTTGCTTGAGAGGGTGTATGCTACGGTGTATGCATCGCATACCCACCATCCAAGTGTCACCTGACAAAGCTTGATCAACGAAGTCAGACTCGAGTTGAGTGCGTGGCAAGACTTTAATTTCTCCAACACAGCATCCTCGGGTGAAAAGTTGAAAGGAATGAAAACGTTTATACGGAAATTCAAATGGAATTCAATCGCGGCTTGGTTTCCGGAGCTGGTTGTTGCAATAAGTGTGAAGACAAAAAACAGTAAATTCAAACAAAATATTCACGTCGATGTTTCGCAAAAAGTCAAAGATTCAATCTATTCGTAATTTTTAACCATTGTAAAAAAGCAGGTAAGGATGAAGAACTGGATGAGACTCAGTAAAAGGTTGACTGCTCTACGATTAGGAATACAGCGACTAACAAAAGCAGTTTCATTGGATGAGCGTTTCATTGACTAATATCTGACTCTCAGATAGGAAAATAGCAGTGGACAGAGTAAGTTTTGGTTTAAAAACGTTCCATAAGAGACCGAGACGAGATCAGCCGGTGATTGCTTGGGTATTGCTTCCTCATGGTATTTATAGTCTTCTACGAGTATGTGATATCTGTTCCCACAAACCGCAGGTTGAAGTGTAGGCTACTGACAGTTTTATTGGCCAATATGCGTTTTATTTTGTGCCCTGAACAGTATATTTATTTATTTCTTTAATCAGTTAGAGATTATCAAGCTAAGAACAATTTTGCGCCTAAACGTTGTGGATGAATATTTGGAAGAGAGCTGAAAGTTCTACGGCGCATTTTGTAGATCAATTGGCGAAATGGTATGCCAGCCAGTGAGACGGACAATTTTAGGAAGGACATAAGGATAAAAGCATGAGGAAATTGCTTGAGTCCACTACGCGCTAAAACTGAGTGACACCGAGCGTTTCCAACACTGGACTATCTGGTACCAAGGGTTGAAGAAGGGCTAACTTTTAGGCGGTTATGTTCAACTTTCCGCTGATTTTCAAACATTACCTCCGCATGCGAAGTCGAGCTGAACACAAGGAAATAATTTTTCCTTGGCTCTTTTTTTCGGTCTATACTTACCTTACCTCGCTGGAACGACTTTGTTAGCTAGCTGAAATTCTTCATAATTAACTGACATAAGGCAGTGCTGAGACAGTGAAGTGTAATAATATAATGAATTCAGTATGACCCATAAAGCCATCTTATACAAATGGGGATGTTTTCACAAGGTAAACTGGACCAAACTCTTTTAAGGTTGTGAAGTACCGGAACGCTACAGGCTTATTCTGTCCCTCCTACGGGCTAAGAGTTGCATCGTCCTACAACGCAACAACCATACATCACTCAAGCGCTGGACGTTGTCCAAAGTTGTAAGTAATTCACTTGTGGGCTTACGATTATGCGTCGGTATTCTGTTGGGAAGCGATTCGGGGCCACCAAACCAACAGCTCAAGCGTTCCTAGTTATCTCGGTGGAGCTTTTCACTCATGAGGTTTGGGTTAGAAGGTGACTTTTAAAGATTGGACTGTCGGTGATCAAAGTTTTTCTCCCAATGTATTCTTATCTCAATGTTAAAAACAATCGATCATTAGCTTATGGAATACTAGCTGCAAGGGAAACTGAACCACGACTAATTAGTNAAGAAAACATCAATTTTTATTCTGTTAGAAAATGATAACTTTTATAAAGTTTGTACGTGGCCTAGTACAGCGGTGGCCATTTGGGTGGCTCTTTACAAAAGTTGCAGACAGATACCATCGAATAGAACACTTCAAGCCCTTCTGACGAGATAAATGCGGCCTAACTGTGGCTTTTTTCCTCAATTCTAAATACACTTCCGGCCCAACCAAGAAAGAATTGCAGAAATTTACGAACAGACTAATGGAAATGCCGACAAGATACAGTAATGCAGGCGTATCAAATAATACGGAGCAAGCTAAGATGAACCGAAAACGAAGCACGGGTTCCGGAAACTGCACCCACTCGTTATTCTAAGCTGTCCTAGGCCTTCTGCAAGGACACTTTGTATAACAGCAAAGTTTCTCACACGGTCAATAATATATTGCTCTACAGCGTTATCCTGATTGTCGCTGATTCATCTATGGCCAACGTTTGCCGTGCGTTAATGGCCCCACGTTATGGAATGAGTGCTGTATTCGCAAGCTGATGTACAGTCCGGGTCTAACAGTCACATTTCTGTACGTCTGTACACGTATGCTTCAAAGCTTGAGGGTCCGTCATTCATCTGGTGATATTCAACGCCTCTGAAATTAGGTTTTACAGGTCTTTCAACGCTACTCATTAAGCAAGTGGTTTCCACTATAAGAATGATGGGGCGGTCGCATGTATACTAAAGAGGAACACCGCTAGTAGATGGAGACAGAGAAACAGAAACGATAAAGACAGGATGCATTTGAGAAAGCGTTTTATTACACGACAGTCGTCATAGAAGCAAAGTGTTATAAACTGGGCTTCCATCAGGATTTTGTTTGGAAGCATACGTTCGATAGTCCCGTCAGAGTTCTTTGTTCCGAGCTCAAAATGATGTGTTAAATATTACGAGCATATAGCGACATATCATACAACATGTATCTATCGCCCATTACTTTGACATTTGAAATTCCTCACGTTTATCCCGTCCCAATTTGTTACCCCCGCTTCACCTTTGTGTTTGGTGCGTGCGTATGAACTGGTGTTTGTTTGAACCTGCCACGTCACTCATTCAAACTTGAGATCATCGAGGCATTATGTGGCCAAACGTATGCCCTTGTGGCTGTTTCACGTGGAAGTCTTTTTCGCATACTTGCTTGTGTTTTTGTAGTCCAAATGGACGGTTTGTTCTGGATGAGTACCTAACATTGAGCTTTGT